GGCCAAAGGAGTTATTAATTTGGTATGTCACTGATCCAAGTGAAGCAGGGATCATCATTGTACAAAGAGGTAATGCTTGAAATAGGTGTTTATTTCATGGTCTGATCATTCAGGAAGCTCAGCTTTAAGAGGAGAAATGTGGCAACAGTATTGGAGGAAGACTTGACAAACTCCTTTATGCAGATGACACAACCTTTCTTGCTGAAACTGAGGAGGACCTGAAGCACTTGCTGCAGAAGTAAGATGTAGTCTTTAATATGGATTGAAGCTCAACATCAAGACAACAAATATTCTCACCACTGGGCCAACTGACAACATCATGATAGATGGAGAAGAGAGTAAGGTTGTTAATAATTATAGCTTGCTTGGCTCCACAGTCAACTCTCTTAGTCTCAGCAGACAGGAAATCAAAAGTCGAATTGCATTGGGAAAATTTGTTGTCAGGCACCGCTCCAGATTACTGAAAAACAATGATGTCAGTCTAGTTACTAAGATTTTTCTACTCCAGGCCATGGTCTTCACCATTATTTGCTATGTATCAGAGAACTGGACAATGACTAATGATGACAGAAGAAGAATTGAGGCCTTTAAATTGTAGTTCTGGAGAAAAGTCTTGAACATACCATGAAGGTGAAACCAAGTTTTTCCTGGGAGTCTAGGGTTTTGAAGCTCTGTCTCACATAATTTGGATGTGTGGCCAAGAGGGACCAGTCCTTAGAGAAGGAAATCATGCTATGAAGGGTGGAGAGACAGTGTAGGAAAGGAAGACTCTGGATGAGATGGACTGATACAGTAACTGGGGCAATGAGAGTAGATGTGTCGGAGTCAATAAGACTGGCCCAGGATAGGCAGGCTTCAGAGCTACTGTACTTAGGGACGCTATGTATCACAGGCAACTTGATGGCATACAACAACAACAACAACAACAGCAATAGTTCTTTATAATGAGATAGCAAAGGAAAGTGAATGGACCGAAGGAACCAGAAACAGTAGAAAAAAGAAATACAGCAAATGGCAATGTTAAAATCTGATCTGTCAGTAATCACACTTGTATTTTAAAACATGCCAAAGTAAGAGAGCTGAACAAAAGATTTTAAAGGAGAGCTCAGGAGAACAAAGCAAAGTATTATAATAAAAAAGTGTGCAGAGAGCTGAAATTGAAGAATAAAAAATGAAAAACTCCCTCTACTGAGAGAACTTAAAAAAATTTAAGCCTCATGTTGCAATATATAAAGATGCTATCAGCAATATATTTAATGACCCAGAAAGCATCAAGAGAAGATGAAAGGGACAAACAGACTCACTGAATCATAAAGAACTGATTGATACTGAAAAATTTCAAGAAGTGCCATATGAAGAGGAGCCAATGGTAATGAAGGAAGAAGTAAAAGTTGCATTGAAGGCATTGGCAAAAAATACAAGACTCAAAGAATCAATGGGAAAACAATTTACTTATTTCAATTAACAGATACAGCCTTGGATGCACTTAATAGTCTGCCAGGAAATTTGGAGGACAGCTGTCTGGCCAATGGGTTGGAGAGGTCCATATTTGTTCCCACTTTAAAGAAAGATGATCCAACAAAACGTGGAAACTATCAGACAATATCATTAACATCACATAGAAGCAAAATACTGCTGAAGATAATTAAAAAATGGCCCAAACAGCACATAGATAGTGAACTTCCAGAAGTTAAAGCAGGATTTAGAAAGGCTGTTGCACCAGGGATATCATTGCTGATGTAAGATGGAGCCTGGCTGAAAGTAAGGATTCCAGAACAATGTCTATTTGCGCTTTATCTATGCAAATGTATTTGACTGTGTGAATCATAAAAAATGTGGCTGACATTGAGAAGAATGGGAGTCCCAGAGCACTTAATTGTGCTCATGCAGAATCTATATCTGGACCTGGAGGCTGTTGTGTGAACAGAACAGGGGAACACTGCATATTTTAAAATTGAGAAGGGAGTGCATTAGGGTTATAATCTTGCTCCATACCTGTTAAATCTGAATGCTGAGCAAATGATCCAAGAAGACCAACTCTCTAAGTAGGAGTGTGGTATTAGGATTGGAGGAAGACACATCAGTAACCTGCATTATGCAGGTGACACAACCTTGCTTGCTGAAAGTGAGGAGCACTTGAAGCACTTGTAGCAGAAGATCAAAGAATGCAGCCTTTAGTATGGATTGTGTCTCAATGTCAAGAAAACAAAGTTTCTGACCACTAGACCAATAGGTAAACATCATGATGAATGGAGAAGACGTTGACATTGCCCATAGTTTCATCTTGCTTGGATCCACAGTTAACACCCTTGTTATCAGCAGTCAGGAAATAAGGAGATGCATTACAATGGGGAAATATTCAGTTAGGGGCCTCTCCAAATTGCTGAGGAGTAGTGATATCTGTTTGAGGACTAAAGTGTGACTGATTCACTTACTAAACATCTGAGAGCTGGACAACAAATAAGAAAGACAGAAAAAGAGTTGACGTCTTTGAGCTATGATGTTGGAGAAGAGCACCGAACATCAAATGGATAGCTAAAGTAACTAATAGGTATATCTTGGAGATGGTGCAACCAGATTGCTCTTTGCAGGCAAGAATGATGAGGCTTCACTTTGTATACTTTGGGCATGTTGCTAAGAGAGACTATTCCTTGGAAATGGATATGATGCTTGGAGTGGTGGAGGGTCGGCAAAGGAGAGGAAGACCCTCAAACACATGGATTGACACAGGGACTGCTGCAATAGGCTGTTGTGTATCAGGAAGAGTGAGGATGGCACAGGATAGAACAACATTCATATCTTTTTTTCATAGGGTTGCTATAAGTTATACTTGATGACACCTAACAACATATTCTGATACATTTGAAAACCTAGAGGAATTGGAAAAATCCCTAGGATTTTTTTTCCCGAACACCCTATCCAAATTGACACAGACTTTACTTGAATAGAACCATCAGAAAAGACAAAATTGAGTAAATCATAAAAAGTCTGTAAGCCCTCATCAAAGTTCTGGCCCAGATGATTTCACAGGTGAATTCTACCTAACATTCAGAGATGAACTCTCACCAATTCTAGTTAATAATTTTTTAAAAAATAGAAAAAGAAGGAATACTTCTAGAGCTCTTCTGTAAAGAAAGCACAACCCCATATCCAATCCAGGCCTTTGTCTGTTTTTTTAATTAAAACAAAACAAAACAAAACAGAAAACTATAGACCAATAGCTCTCACCAACATAAATACAAAAATCCTTACCAAGATTCTGGCCAGTAGAATCCAAAAGTATATTGAAAAAATAAATAAATCATCATGACCAAGTAGGATTCTTAACAGTTTATGCAAGGATGATTCAACATACAAGAAACACCAACCAACCAAAACACCGAAGTAATTAATCACATTAACAAGTCAAAGAAGAACCACAGATTCCTATCAATTGATCTTGGAAAGGTCTTTGAAAAATCCAGCACCCCTTCCTGATTAACATGCTCAACAAAATTGCAAGAGAAGGGAATTTCTTCAGCATAGTGAAAAGTATATACTCAAAACCATGAGCCAACATCTTTCCCAATGGAGAAAAACTAAAGGCCTTCTCTGGGGACCAGACAAGGATGCCCACTTTCATCACTCCGATTGTATTTTGGAATTACTTTCTAGGACAGATTGTGAAGATTTTATTCAGCAAATAATGTACATAATACATAAAAGTATTAGCATGTAGATTATATTATTGTTGTTTTTTATGTGCCATCAAGTTGCCTATGACTCATGGTAATCCTATGTGCAATAGTTCTGAATCCTGCCCTGTCCAGAGCCAGTGTCACTGACTTAAGCATTCCTGCCCTCATTGCCTCAGTTACTGTATCAGTCTATCTCATCCAGGATCTTTCTCTCCTGCACTGTCCCTTCAGTCTTCTGAGCATGATGTCCTTCTCCAGTGATGTCCCTCTTGGCCAAATGCCCAAAGTATGTGAGACAGAGCTTCAAAATCCTCACCTTCAAGGAGAAACTTGATTTCACCCTCCCCAAGAAATACCTGTTTGTTTTCTTAGTGGTCTATGGTATGTTCAAGACTCTTCTCTTGCACCACACTTTAAAGGCATCGATTCTTTTTCTGTCTTCCTTAGTCATTGTCCAGCTCTCTGTTGCATAGCAGGTAATTGCGAAGACCATGGCCTGCATTAAGGGCACCTTAGTCTCTAGACTGACATAATTGATTTTCAGCATTTTTGAGAAGTTCTTGACAGCAGATTTTTCCAGTGTAATTCATCTTTTGATTTCTTGACTGCTGGTGCCAAGAGTGTTGATTGTGGAGCCAAGCAAGCTGTAATTGTTAACAACCTTAATCTCTTCTCCATCTATCACGGTGCTGTCAATTGGCCCAGTGGTGAGAATCTTTGTCTCTTAATGTTGAGCTTCAACTCATGTTGAAGACTACAGTCTTTGACCTTCTGCAGCAAGTGCTTTAGGTCTTCTTCTGTTTCACCAAGTAAGATTGTGTCATCTGTGTAACATAGGTTGATGAGTCTTTGATGCCACATTCCTCCTCATAGAGTTCAGCCTCCTGAATCATTTGTTCTGTATATAGATTGAAAAGGTATGAAGATTGGATGCAGCTCTGACACACTCCTTTCCTAATTTTGAACTATACAGTGCTTCCTTGCTCTGTTCTGAGGACTGTTTCTTAGTTCAAGCATAGGTCTCACATAAGCACAATCAAGTGTTTTGAGATTCCCATTCTTCTCAAGGTCAGCTACAATTTGTTGTGATCCACCCAGTCAAATATCTTTATATAGTCAGTGAAACACAGACAGATTATTTTACTAATGCTTTTTATTGTAGAATTTCCTGTGCATAAAATATTAATTAATGTTAATTTATTATGATAAGGTATAAATTTAATTCCTTATAATGTCTGATTGCCAATGCAGATTTTAACTCATGAGGTATTAAATGTGCTATTTTCTCTCATTGTTGTATTTCTTTTTTTTTTTCTTCTCTAGAGATTTGTACCTATAAAATCAATCACCCCAGCTCCTGGAACATATAATGAAACTCAAACTGATCTCAGATCCTTGAAGAAAATCTTAAGGGAAAAAAAGTCTGTATTTAACAAAAGAACTGCTCAATTCATACAGAAAGCTGGTAAAGAAGAAATGCCAGGTTAGCAACTAATGCATAAATTTATACTGTTGAGCTTTGTTTTCCTTACTTTTTTAAATGAGATGGTTGCATCAGAGAGTACAGTGTGGATTTTTGTGGTTTTTGTCAATATATTGTTGGTGTTATCATTTCAAGTCAACAAAAATTTTTAACATTGCTAATGTGCTAAACAGATAAAAAGAATTCTTCATTTTAGTTGTTATTACTGTTGTTGGGTATTGTTGAGTAAACTTGTAGCAACCTTAAGAACAGCAGATCAAAACCCTTGTCCTATCATGTGCCATCCTCACAATTTATGGTATCCTCAAGCCCATTGCTTGTGGTGCCAATCTATCTGGTGGGAGATCTCACTCTCTTTTGCTATCCTTCCACCTTTCCAAACATGATGAAGCCTCTCTTCAAGGAAGAGACTCTCCTAGTAGTATGCACAAATTATGTGAGATGAAGCTTTACCATATTTGTCTATAAGTAGCACTCTGGCTCCACCTGCCAAAGTATATCTGTTTGTTCTTCTGGCAGTCCGTGGTATATTCAGTACTCATCTCCAACACCACAACTAAAAGAGATTAATTCTTCTGTCATCCTTACTCATTGTCCAGTCCTCAGATACATAATAAGTGATTGAAAAGATCAGGGTCTGAATCAGGTGCACTTTAGTCCTCTAACTGACATGTTTATCCTTCAGTAATTTGAAAAGAGAGGTCTTTAACTTCGGATTGACCAGTGCAATGACTCTGTGCATCTGACTGCTGTACCGAGTGTATTGATTGAGGATCCATTTAAGATGAAGTAATTGACAGCATCAAACTTTTCTCCCTCTGTCATGATGTTGACTTTCAGTACAGTGGTGAGAATTTTTGTAATTTTGTTTTCTTGATGTGGAGATACAATCAGTAATGAAGGTTGTGTTGTTGTTGTTGTTGTTAGGTGCTGTTGAGTCATAGACAACTCATAGTGACCCTATGAACGAAAGGCCTGAGCACTGTTCATAGAGTTTCCAGAGGCAAGCCATTTCAGAGTGGATATCACTCCTGCTTCCAAGCTTGTTTTAATCGAGAAGCTCTGCCAAACACTGTCCACCTTGGGTAACCATTATCACATTTGACACATCAGTGGCACAGTGTTTAGCATCACAGAAACTGTGAGTTTCCTCTGTACGACATTCACAGACCAGTGCTATACCACCTAGAAGACTGCTTGACAAAAAAACAATTTGAACCAGGCCTGAGGACTGCAGGTTAAAACCACCCACCTTGGGCTTGGTGACAAAACTTTCTGTCCACTAGGCCAACATTCCTCTTTCTCTGTTGTCATTGTTACTGTTGATAGGTGCCATTGAGTCAAAGATGACTCATAGCGACCCTATGAGCAAAAGTCCTGAACACTGTTTATAGAGTTTCCAGAGGCAAGCCATTTCGGAGGTGGATGCACTCCTGCTTCCACTTCTGTGATAAGCACTTCCTTTCCTTCTCACTTTCAACAAGCAATGTCGTGCCATCTGCATTCCAAAGGTTATAACCATTCCTGATGCCCGTTCTTCACAAAGTCCCCCTTCTCAAATAATTTGCTCAGCATAACATTTAATAAAAAAATGGAGAAAGGATTGAAGCTTGGCACACACCCTTCTGAATTTTAAACCATTGGAGTATGGAAATTATTGAACATTGTCACTGATACCACATGCCAGCAAGATTCTGCTGAAAATGATCTAAAAATGACTGGAACAGCACATCCACAGAGAACTGCCTGAATTGCAGGCTGGGTTTAGAGGAGACTATGGTATTAGGGATATTATAGCTAATGTCAGGTGGATCTTGTCTAAAAGCAGAGAGTACCAGAGGAATGCCAATCTGTGTTTTATTGACTATGCATAGATACTTGACTGTATAAATTTCTAACAAACTGTGACTGACTCTGAGAAGAATGGGAATTGCAGAACACTTGATTGTGCTTATGTGACACCTGTACTTGGACCAGGAGACAATTGTTAGAATAGTCTTTAGAATAGAGCAAGAAAACACTGAAATATCTCAGTGACAGAAGGACAAATACTGAATACTGCCACTGATATAAAACAGGACTGACATGTGGTTAGGAGGAAACTAACAATAGAGGGGATAATTAATGTACATTGCATTGAAACATATGAAGAATAGGACTCTTTAAAAGGAATATATGAGTGGGTATTGTTTGCAAGACCACAGTCGAGAATAAGAGCTGCATAGTAACTTGGACTGTGGGAGGGGGTGGATTATACAACAACGAAAGAATTTTTTTTTCAAATAGAAAAGTGAAATGGGGGCGGGGTTGGGTAGGGAGGAAATGGTGCAACAATGAATAAATGGAAATTCAAGTTCTATGTACACTTTCATTAAAATCTCAATTAAAAAAGGGGAAAATAAATGAAAAAATAACTTGGGAAAAAAGTAAAATAAAAAATTATATTTGTTTGCATATAAAATTCATATACATTTTGTTTCACTTTCCTTCATTTATATTTTATTTCATACAATTGTGTTTTATAATTTAATCCCTGTTTTTAAATTTAATCACCATTGATGTATTCCTACCATTACCTATCTTTTCAGGTCCCCCGTGGACCTTTTCCCCCTCTTGCAACCCCCCTACATATTTTACTAGTTATCCTTTTATTTTTATAATAATAGTCCTATCCAGTTTTGTTCTTATGAGACTGAGTTAGTTTAGTTCACTCATCAAAATGCTCTCCAGTTTCTCCCAAGTTATGTAGTATTTTTTGAAATAATTCCTGATGACTGTTACGTGGTCTTCCACCATGTCAATTTATCACACTTTCACAGTCATTTGGTTGTGGTTGGACATTTACTTGTTTCCATATTCTACTGATTGTAAATAATGCTGATATGAACATTAGTGTACAAATCTCCTTTAGCTTCTCAGGTCTAATTTCCTTGGTATATATTTTTAGCAGTGGAATAGCTGGGTCAAATGAAATATCCATGTTCAGCTTTTTGAGGAAACTCCAAACTGTCTCCCCCAGTGAATGTACCATTTTGCAATCTCATCAGCAGTGTATGAGTGTTTTGATCTCTCCACATCCTCTCTAACATTTATTGCTTTCTGTTCTATTAAACTTTTTCACTGCTACTGGGATGAGAAGGTATCTTATTGTAGTTTTGATTTGCAACTCTCTTAATACCAGTGATTTTCAACATTTCTTCATGTGTCTGTTGACCATTTGAATATGAATGTCTTCTGTGAAAAATCTTTCCATGTCATTTGCCCGTTTTGTAATTTGGTTATCAGTCTTTTTCTTTCTGAGGCCCTGTGGTAGTCTGCAAACTTTTGTTATGAGACTCTTTTCTAAAATGGTATTTCCTAAAGTTTTTTCCCATTCAGTAAGTTTCCTTTTCACCCTATTAGGAAAACTTTTTGATGCACACAGGAATTTAATCTTTAGAAGGCTCATTCATTCATCAGTTTTATCCTCAATGTGCATTTCTAGTTGTATTTGTCAGCTTCTTTATACCATGGGCTAGCCCTTCTAAGCTGGGTCCAATATTGTCTCTTATATCTTTATGG